TTTGTTTTTCTACAATTCTCTATACTCACTCTGTGTTCCAATTCAACCTGGAAACAGTAGATAAGAAAAGTCACATTGCAGAATGTCCACTGTCAAATTCCATCATCATCATCATCATCATCATCATCATCATTATTATTATTATTATTATTACTATTATCGTTACTGTTATTACTGTTATTAAATCATGAATTTGTCGAACAGCAGCCGTGAGGTTCCTAAAAATACCGGCTTCAAGATGTTTTCACATTACCTCTCAAAGGATTAGGGAAGTGCCAAAGAAAACAACTTAGCGAAAGATTCGACGTCAGTATGACAAGTTTATACAAAGAGGATGTCGATGAACCATTTGATAACTTATCTTTGTGACTTACAACTAATTCTTACATATATACATCTACGACTTGAGGAGACAATAACAAGCGAAAGAGTAGCATTCCCAAGGAATATTTTGAGAAATCGTAAACTTGAAATTAGTGGAAATCGAAAACACAGAGTGCGAAAAGAGCGATACCATCGAGGACTCGGGTTCTTCTTGGCTTACTTCACTCACTTTAGAATAGCAAGAAGTACACGAAAACACATTTACGAAACTGGGTGAAACTAGATAAACAATGAGCCTGTTAAGCAGACTTTTATCTAATAAAGTCGTTCACCACTAGTCAGAACTGTCTGACTAGTCTGAATTTCAGCCGTCTCTTCCCTTTACCCCAAGGGGGGCGCGGGAGAGAGACGTCTGAATTCCGAGCGTTATAATAGGGAGCTTAAGATACGGACGTTTTCGGGGCGACGGCGACGTGACAACCCAGGTAGACTGGGCTAGAGGTTGCTGTTTTCGTGCCATAATTTAAGTTGTTAAGATTCTGATGACGGCCGGCCTTTGCGACTTCGTCGAGTTTAATTAATTGTTGCGCTTTATAAATTAAGGCTTTTTTGTCGTAGCATGGCTACGTTTGAAGAATTCCGCCATATCCTCGTCCTTTACTACGACGCTAATCTCATTAGCGATGAAGAGTTCTTGGTTTTGTATGAAATGTTTCCGTCTAAAAACCTCAATTCTCCATATGAAAATGTTCGTAGATCTGAGGTGTACGTTTTCGAGGTGCATCTACGAATTGATAGAGGGAATGGCTGGACTTCTATCTTCTGAAATGGTTTCATCAAGTTCAGAGTTGTCAGCACTAGTATCCACTGAAGCAGTTCTATCATCACTCTCTGCTAGAGACTGTGGTTCTTCAAGGTCTTGGTCTTTATAAGTACCCTGTAGGAAATTTAAGAACATTAGCCACACCATAAATAAAACAAAAAAAACATCATCTGCCTAGATTTAAATCTCAAAATAAAGTTTTGTACATCAGGCGGGTACTATCATATGAAAACACCCAACATAAGTTTGGTCCAAAAACTAAGATTTGCTGGGTACTACATCGTTGGCAAAAGAAAGTTGCCAGGGGCCACTGGCCTTGGCAAGAGCATGGCCATGCAATTTCATTGATCCTGGAAATTCTTAGAACACATTGCTAAAAGTACAAAGTAAACAAACACTGATAACACATCTTTTGGCTAGCTTTAAATCGTTTAGACTTGGAGGTCATATCACTGTCATCACTAGCCACTTATTTACATCTCACTGAATCAAAAAAGTGCCTACTATGCTATCCCTCGTTCTTCAAAAGGTTTAGACACACATGTAAATGAGGTGGCCCTGCAGAGGTGGCCTGCAAAGTGGCCCTGCATTCTGTAGTTGCTCCATTTTTCCCTTTAAAAAGCTAGAAAATTTGCCTACCAGTAAGTAATGCAATGGGCTTCATCCACCGCTACAACAACCACATTTTTTTGGTAAACTTGAGAGCAAATCATCTCTCGCCAGCGATCATTTGTCAGCATGGCTTCTGGCGACGAATACACGATGTTCATTTCCACATTCACAATTTCCTTGAAATTGGCCTCCTCTTGACCGGCACCGATAAACGAAGCCTTAATTCCTCTTTCTTGAAGACCTTTAACTTGATCTTTGATCAAAGATACCAAAGGTGAAATCACCGACACGATGCCACTTCGAATATTGCCATTCTGATAAATTAAATGCCTCGTGGACATCTCTTCCGCAACTAGAGGTGACAGTTGATATATTAGACTTCTACCAAAGCCCCTGGGAGGATTGACAAAAACATCCTTTCCAAAAAGAAGATAAAACAGAAACTCAGAGTAACAGAGAATCGATGCGTCCTTTTTACTCTTCAACTAATGTATACCCAGCTCTGCTAACGCAGCATTGAGCACTTTATGCTAAGGTAGGCTCTACTCTCACATTTATATACATACATATATGATATATAGCGTTTGAGCGTTTGAGGAAGTTTTCGACGAAGCCATTCCCCCTTACCAAAGGGCACTCAATGAAAGTGGATACACCTTTAAATTAACGTACAACCCACAACTTACCCAAACACCGCCAAGAATCCGCAGGAGAAACCGCAAAAGAAGCACTACCTGGTACAACCCCCCATGGAACTCCAGCGTCAAAACCAATATAGGAAAGAAGCTTCTCAACATCGTTGATAAGTGTTTTCCTAAGAATCACCCACTCCACATGACCTTCAACAGACACACGCTCAAACTGAGCTACTCTTGCATGCTAAACATGAAATCCATTATCGCATCACACAACAAAACACTCCTCTCAGATTACACCCCAACTCCAATACCACAATCCAACAACCAATGTAACTGCCGAACAAAGGAGAAATGCCCCCTTCAAGGAAAATGCCTGGAAACGAACGTAGTCTACCAGGCAACCATAACAACCGGCACAGCAATAGAATCATACGTAGGACTTACAAAAAGCTTCAAGGAACGTTACAGAAATCATAAAACATCCTTCCGACACACCAACAAAAGAAACACTACTGAGCTGTCAAAACATGTATGGAAATTGAAGGACGCCAAGACCCCCTTCAGCATTAAGTGCAAAATAATAAAAAAATGCAACCCTTACAGCAATATTACAAAAAAATGTAATTTGTGCATTTATGAGAAATTTGTCATAATCTGCAGAAAAGATTTATGTACCCTCAACAAAACAAATGAATTAGCGACCTCATGCCCCCACAGGAATAGATACGTGCTCCAAAACTTTCATGTAGCGTGACGTAATGGTGAACGCAATACCAACCGTGTTAAACCGCGCGCGCCAGCATTTAAATTCAAATCAAAACTGCCAGCATTTAAATTTAATGGTCATTCGTTGATGTTGCCTGATGAGTGTGGCCAACCTTTGGCCAAATAAAACAGGACTGTAGCAATAAAGCACTGAATCACTGCTGATGTCTTGAACTGGTTTCAAATAGTATATATATGTATATAGATATATATATAGATTCGCAGTCCAAATGAGTTTGCTTGACAGAATACTTATACAGAAATCAGCGCGTGTGATCATGTCATATTTAACAATTATTCCACGAGTGCGCGTTGGATATGAGATGATAGATAGCCAACGAGGCGCGTAGCGCCGAGTTGGCTATAATCATCTCATATCCAACAAGCGCGAGTGGAATAATTGTTTTATTAAAAACGCCCCCAAGAAATTATTATTTTGTAAGAAGAAACTGGATTTTTTAGCTCCCTTTTGATTTTAAGCTGATGCGTACGCTTACCATATTTGTAGATTATGGTATATTGGCTGATATACCATAATGGCTAAGCCAATAAAAAGTCTTGAATTGCATTATCCAATGATCCAGTTTTTAATAAATTTATTTATTCAGTACCATATATTGACTTGGTCCATGCCATAAATATGTTGTACATACAGTGGAACCCCACCATACGACCACCCCAATAATGCGACCACCCCATTATTGCGACCACTTTTTTGTGGCCCGAAGAAAAATCCACTCATTCTTTGGTCTGAAAAATCCGACCACCCCGTTATTACGACCAACGACCAACTTTGGGAGTCCTCAGTCATTATTTTCTTTATAAAATTACCTCGTTAATACGACCAGTCAAAATGCTTGGTGGGGCTGCTGAATGAAGACAGACTCAATCTGACAAATAACGTATTAGTATTTTATTCAATGTTTTTAGGCAGACATTGTTGTGGTCATAATTTGGATATATCAACAAAGTTGAAATGGTAAATTGGCCACCGTAACGATTACAAAAGCTGACGTTTCGAGCGTCAGCCCTTCGTGGGAGCAAATAGAGGAATTGTGGGTTGTGTGTGCTTTTAAAGGCAGAAAATGCAGCTACGTTATTGGTGGGAACATGGCAATTGTTGTGGTCAGCATGTTCAGTCAATAACATCTGGAAATAAAATTACAGCAAGTAAAGAAAATGAATGAACAGGCTCCACACCGCTGTGAGAACACGTTTACGTTTCCGTCCCTCGTAAATATTCATAAGTCAGTGTAGCATTTGGAGGGTTCTGAAAATTATTTCAAATTTGTTTCTGTTCCCTTTCTCCATGGCTCTTCTCTACAAGTCCCTTTCCTTTTCTTTCCTCACCGATGGGTTGTTTGGAATGTCTGGTAATTTGTTGAGCATATCCACGTTTCTTGGCTTTCCAGTAAACTTGTACACGCATGGCATTTCCATCCCGTAGCCCCCGCCACGATTAGCGGCTTTCCCAACAACTTGAACTTGTCCTTTACTTCCTTTCTTTGTTATGAAATGGCGGATAATTCCAGTTCCCTGCTTTGTGCTAGCTAGTGCCCATGGTACATGACCAGCTACATCATTATCCTTTATCACGGCTATAGCGTTCTTGTCATGTTCATTGTTTGGTACGTGTATTGAATCGAGAACCTCTCCAATTTCAATCTCCCAATTATCTTGATAAACATTGTATCCCCTTATCCAGGAAGAAATTTCGGTTTCATTTAAGCTGGATGTATTTGCAGAAGGACCCGCCATGACTTATGCGGAAAATCAAACTGACTAATCAAACATATGGTAATTATTGCAAGTGCTGTAATTCGACAACAAGTGCAGACATGGGAAACACCGAAATACTATCCGTTCTCTTAAAAATGCAAATTATTGGACTGGTTGGAGGTCTGTCATTCAACATCCATCGGCAGCATGTGCCAATTCTAATGTGTCTGACAAAAAAGCAAAATTTTAAGGGACACAAGCCAGAGGTTCCAAACCACTATTAACGCATGTTTGCATCTAAGGACTTCAAGCACAATTCATGAGTCAAAGAATTCTTCAAGCGTCCTTATTCCTATATTATGTCCACTGGCTCGCAGCGGAAACGACAGAAGCTTGACTTAAAAACACGTTGTGAAGTTTTTAGGTTTAAAGAAAATAACCCTCATGTCAACGCAAGGAAGCTTGCAGACTAATTTAAATGTGGGAAAACCCAGATTCAAGCTATCTTGTTGAAGAAAGATGAGATTTTAAAGGACTACGAGTCTAATCTCAACGGCAATATCAAACGAGTACAAGAACCTGAACACGAAGAGATTGATCAAGGTTTGCTTGACTGGTTTCGAAAGGCAAGGTCCAAGAACATTCCAGTTACCAGGCCCATGTTGCAAGAAAAAGCTACAAGAATTGCAGAGGCTTCAGAAGTTTCCGGCGAGCAATTCAAGGCTTCAAACGGGTGGCCAGATCGCTTTAAAAGGAGAACTGGCATAAAAGCAAAGTTTATTTCTGGAGAATCAGGAGATGTCAGAGAAGAAACGGTGGCGGACTCATGGATAGAAAGACTTCCTGTAATTTTGCAAGGATGGCACCCTCGCGACATTTGGAACATGGGTGAAAGAGGCCAGTTTTTCAGAGCGCTCCCAAACAGATCCCTGACTGAGGCTTCTCAGAGTTGCACGGGCGGTAAGAAATCAAAAGACAGGCTGACGTGTGCGTTCATCGTTAATGCTAGGGGTGGGAAAGAGAAGCCTATCATCATTGGCGAATCGGCAAATCCAAAATGTTTCAGAGGTATCCAGAACAGATCGCTATTACCATGTGAGTATTTCAACCAGCCAAAAGCGTCGATGAACAGTGATATCCTGATGGAAATTCTATCGAAACTTAGCAGAAGACTAAGCCGCGAGGATAGAAGCGTAATCCTGTTCATGGACAATGCCCCATGCCACCCCGAAGACGTAGACGATAAGTTTGACGAGATAAAAATCGTCTTTTTCCCTAAAATACACGACATCTCGTCTACGGCCACTTGACCTTGGCATAATTCAGGCATTCAAGCTCAAATACTACAAACGCGTATTGACACATGTTGTTAGTGAGGTGGATCAATCTAATTCTGCTTCTGATGTGTGCAAGTCTGTTGACGTTCTCCAGGAAATAAGGTGGACCTCCCTGGCCTAGAATGATGTTTCAGAAAGTACAGTTGTAAAATTCTTTATTAAAGTAGGAATGTTAGATGCAGAAGGCAACACGAATGCAGTCGAGTGTAGCAACTCTGACGTTGACCCATTTTCAGAATTACAAGACGAGTTTGCTGCTGTTGAGAGCTTGGCGAAAGAAACAAGTGGGGCCTCTGCAGTCTCAATTAAAGAAACTGTTAATGGCAGTTTTGATCCACCAGTTTGCTTCGAACTTCCAGACAACTGGGAGGATACATTCTTTCGAGAAGTAGCGCTTGAACGAGGAGAGGAAACAAATGATGCTGTTGAAATAGGGGCTAGTGAGGATGAAATCGATGAACCTCCGGCAACTGTCATGCCTAAAATGGCTTCATATAAGGAGGCGACATCTAGCTTGCAAGAAGTTTTAAATTTTCTAGAGGCAAAGGGCAATATTAAAACTGCCAACGATCTCGTAAAAGTTATCTATTCTATACAAAGTGATTGGCTTAAGCCGAGGCGAAGCCAATCAAAGCTCACAGACTTTTTAAAACCGTTTAAGCTTGCTAATGACTGTGTAACGTGCTGTAAGCAACAATTAAGAAGGGCTCTTCCAGACATTTAACAAAAGGCCGCATCCTGTTAAAGAACTGAAAGACGTTACAGTACAGAATTGTTTTTGACGTTGTACTCGGTTTTGTTCAGTTGCAATGAATTGCCGTTGTAAGGTTGAAGAATAACTGTAAAAAGGTTGATTGTATAACGAAATAATAATAATGATAATAAATAATAATGATAATCTTTAGACAGGGTGCATTCTCACAAAAAGTGGTTTTCAGAACGGCCCTGTATAAAATAAATTAATAAAGGAAAAATAAATACAAATTACAGACGTTGAGAAAATATACAAGCTAAAGGGATAAAATTGCTGCATCACAATATTAAGATTATGTAAAAAGGCGAAAAATTGGTAATTTACAAAATACTACCGTGACGATAAAGGCGGCACTTTCATTTTAAACAATAAAATTGATTTAGATTCCTGAATATCTGGATTAAGATTGTTAAAATCATTTGATGCCTGATATGTTAGTTTTTGTTTTCCCCAGTTTGTTTTGGGAGCTGGAAGATGCAGTTTGTTACACTGGCGGGTATTATAATTATGAAAGGCAGTGTTACGCTTAAAATTAAAATCAAAGCCAATGATGTTATTCAAGCATCCAAAAATAAAAACGCATCGGTGCATCTGTCGTCTTTGATCTAAACGCCTCCATTTTAAGGACTCAAGAGCATCGGTGGCGGAAGAATACTTGGCCTTGTCAAGAATGATTTTAGCTGCCTTGTTTTGTTGGGTTTGGAGATCGTTCATTAATGTAACATTGTTTTTGTCACCCCAAATAATGTCACCGTAGTCAAAAATAGGAAGAATTAGAGAATGGTAAAGTGTCAACCGAGCGTGTAATGGTAAAAGATGCTTGATTCTTCTGACAAGTCCCAGTCGCTGATTTGTTTTGCTTATGATATTTTTAACGTGATCACCCCAGGATAGATCTTCGTTCAGTGTTACACCCAAGTATTTGAGAGAGCTAGCTTCTTCCAGCGGACTGTCGTTGATATGGATAGCGACAGTGCGTAACGACTTCAGACGGCGTTTACTCCCAAATAAAAGAAATCTAGATTTAGAACAGTTAAGAGTAAGGAGATTAGACTGTAGCCAAAGCGAAGCAGATTCGAGGTCCTTGTTTAGAAAGGTCTCCACGTCCTGAGTTGATTTGGCAGAATAATAGATTAAAGTATCATCAGCGTAGNAGGAAGTATGCTTCCTTGGGGCACCCCGACTGTGACTGGCCTCGGAGACGAGAGACAGTTTCCGATTGTGGTGACCTGCTCACGATCAGTTAGATAGGACTTAAACCAATCCATTGAATTTTGATTTAGACCCAAGAAATGCAGTTTCTTTAGTAAAATTTGGTGATCGATCGTATCAAATGCCTTGCTAAGATCAAGGAACGCAGCGCCTGTAATAAAGCCATTGTCCATGTTATCCAGGATATTCTCAGTCAGATGAGCAAGGGCCACCTCAGTTGAGAGGTTTGGGCGAAACTCAAACTGTTCAGGGGCCAAAAGGTTGTTCTCCTTGAGGAAGGTAAACAGTTGACGGTGAACAGCTTTCTCGAGGATCTTGCTTAGAACGGGTAAGATTGTAATGGGTCTGAAATTACCTGCGCTGGTTCGGTCACCAGATTTAAAAATTGGAACCACCTTTCCCTTTTTCCATATAGCCGGAAAAACAGCAGAAGAAAGCGATTTATTCAACAAAAAGGTAAGGCACGGTGTGATGACATCAGCAGAATCTTTAAGAAGGCGTGCGCTGATCTTATCGAGTCCAATTGCCTTTTTAATTCTAGGAGAGCTTAGGTATTTCCGAACGAAACTTTTTTTTATGTCAGAGAAGCTGAAAACTGAAGGTGATGAGGTAACCCAAGAAGGGTACTGACAAGTGGTGCATCGATCTCCTATAACGTTGGCAATACGTGTCCCCATATATGTAAAATAATCGTTAATGACATTTGCAATTGAACAAGGATTGTTATGCAAAACGTCTTCAGAAGAGATACACGTAGGACCGCTCCTAGATTTATTTTCGCGGTTTGTAATTCCATTTAGGGGTTTCCAGAGACCAGCACTATTGTCTTTGTTATTGTTGATACATTCTTGGAAATAATTAGACTTGGCTTGTTTCACTTTGTCGTTTGTTTTGTTCCTGACTTTGCGATACGTAGACCAAACAGCAGCAGAATTCGATTTCAGTGCTTTCTTATGGAATCGATCTCGATCTTGCATTAGTTTAGAGGGCTCGGGCGTCATCCACGGGGTCTTTAGGCCTTTAACTCTTTGAATTTTTATGGGAGCGTGTTGGTCAGCTATGCTGGAGTAGATTGTACACCATGTATTTACAGCAGTATTGACATCATTTGCGTTGTAAACAGGGGACCAGTCTGTTGATCTAAGATCTTGAAGGAAGCGTTCTTTATCATAATGTTTAAATGAACGATATTCAATAACACGCGGAGGAGCCTTGGGAACACCTGCTTTTAAGGTGCAAAACACCAGGGAATGATCACTCAGAGCCAAGTGAATCACACCACTGTTAATAACGCGATGGCTGTTATTCACAAAGATGATATCAATCAATGATGAATTGTTGGCGGTTACTCTCGTGGGAGATTGAATAAGTTGGTCCAGGTTATGCAATTTTGCTAAGGTCTCCAACTTTGATTTCAAGCATGAATTTGACTTTTGTTTGCCTTTTAAGGCCATTAAAGGTGCTGTACATGTTTAAAGCACGTTGCATCATAATGTGACCCTACCTCGTTAATACAACCACCCCGTTAATACGACCAATTTTCCATGGCCCGAAGATGGTCGTATTAACGGGGTTCCACTGTATATTCTATTCATATATTTATTTGATCCATGCCATATATGATTAACTTTTGCATTTAGTTTTTGAGCAAACAATATTGTCCTATACGGCACCCGATATCAGGCTTGCTTTATTGTAAATGTCAGCTTAGTACAGGGTCATCTACCCACATCTAATAAACAAAAGTCTCCACACATAGTGCATATCTTAACAAATGTTCCTTTAGTAGAAGCTGGGAAGAGCAACAATTTGATTTTCTTGTTTGGGTACTCTGCCCACGGGAAATTTTTAGCGATGCCTCTTTGTTGGTATCTGACACTACCAAGGATGGCGGCTTGGGCCTTATCGGCAAATTTTCAAATGGGATTCGAAGGCCCTTCTTTTTGTTGAAATTGGAGGCCATTTGTTCTTCCTCCTGACTCGATGTTAGTGAAGAAAGGGGAGATATCCTCTACAGAGATACTTCGGCAGGGATGGCGGCTGAAGACTTAAGCTTACAATTACGTTTCCATGTTTCAACTCTATGGCGATAAGTGTTGCAAACTACACGCGGAAGACCATCGTCTTGTAGAATCTTTTGATTGAAAACTTCTTCAAATATTCTCATAAACTCGCCACTAAGATTTCTTTTTCTCTTAACGGTGATAAAAACGGAAGAGCATACTCGACAACGATCTAAAACATTTTCACCCGGATTATTCATTATCGTAAAAAAACCCTAAACCTTACTTAAACAACTAGCCGAAGGAGATTAGATTTTGGCGCGCGCAGAAAGCTGCGTAAGCGCCAGTTATTTGACATACCTGCGTGGCCCGTGCGACGAAATAACTTGATAAGATTGGCAAAGTTTCAGTAACAGCAAATTATTATGGAAAAAATCTAGAAAGATTTAAGCTTACATCTCGTTTAACGTTTAAAGAGACATATTAGCGCCTGCAACCATTGTGTTTTAGACGAACCTCGCAAACTTTAAACACGGTCTCTTGTGATACCTGCGAAAGTATTCAGTATAATTTCCGGTAAGATTTTTACGGACAATCTGATCGATTTCTCTTGCATTTTGTGCTGAGACAGAAACTTTTCACCTCGAGCAAAGCTCCGTCGCACGGCCCAAACAAACAGGGCGAGCAAATGAGCTTCTTGTCTATGTCCGTGTTAAAACACACGAAAGGACTCTAAAGCACACTTCACTCTGATTGGATAGAAAAACACACAGATTTTATGGCACCAATCAGATGTCAGAACGACAGCGACCGTTTGGAACTAGTCTTGTAAGACAATGTTAGTTTAGAGTAGAGTTTAAGATTGCGCTTTTATTTTTTAAAACGTTGAATGGCCTGGCACCACAATATTTATCTGAACAACTTGTTGTAAAGCCTAGAACTAGATATAGCCTGCGGTCTGATTCTGAAACATTGCTGCTAATCCCTAGGGTGACAAGGAAGAC